TGTGAGATAACAGACAACAACACGCTATTAGAACCTTCTACAATTATGTAAATCTCGACGGATTTTTTTTGCAATGAGTCTGAAGTGCATAGGAGCCGGAAAGAGTAGTGCTTCATGTGATTTCCAAGAGATACTAATTGAATTCCAATTGATATCCATCAAAATCACACAGCCACTGTCCAATTTCTACTCTGTTAATTTTAAAAAACTTCTTATCACCCATTCCTGGTCATTTACCTCCTTCCTTCCCTCTGTGTCGAAATTCACTAACCGGCGCTAATATTTCCTTTGACATATTTGTTTTGGCTTCTGAGCTTCGTCTGCCAACGGCATTAGTGTTTCTCCTATTTTGTCGGGCATAGTGAAAAAGTGCAGTTTTTGCGCCTACTCCACTTTGCTTAAGTGCGTCCGCCCACCATAAGTACACCCGACGTCCATTTTTCGATTTCTTGCCTACTTCTTTTTTTCATTTGTTTTTAGGCCTGTTTTTCCAGGATATACTTTCTCTCTTGCAAAGAGTTTCTGCTCAAGGCTGATTGCCAAGAGGTCTTCGGATTTCCTTCTTGTTTTCGAGCTTTTTCAGAACAAGAAAAAGTTTCTTGGTGACGCGATCCATTTTGATATAGCCTCCTTCCTTTGATTGTAGTCTACTCTGTTTCACCTAATTCGCAGACTTGTAACTTACCTTTGTGCCCTTCTCCGCTTTTCTGAACTGTGTGGAAACTCTATTAGCTATCACTATTTGTTTCGATTTTGGCAAACGCCCCATCGTCGTTGTGGAGCTTTTTGGTCCAACATGAACAAATTCTTAACATCGAACCAGCAAAACCGAGTTCGTTGTTGGTGAGTGCTTCCTTATGTACAACCAATGCTTTCAATGACAAAGAAAAAATTTGGAAGATACAGATGTGACAAAATATGGTAAAACCCAAATAGTCAAAAGTACACAGCGAATTTTGATCCTGGATATGTTTAATGGTCCATCTTGCTTGGAAAAGCCGGTTCATCAAGTCTCTTAGAACCCTGGTCGAGCTTTAGTCAGGAACTTGCGCATTCCTGAACAAGAGGAACAACAGTTGCACGAAAAGTTCAAGAAAAAATCAAGATATTTACGAAAAAGCTCTATTGCCCTGACGTTATAGGTTTAGTATGGGTGCTTTTTCAGCATAAATGTATTGTAGTGCTTTCTTCGATACCGTAATCTTCTTTGAGTTAGCTCCCCTTCTGAGGCTTCGTTGCTCTTTGAACCAGTTTCTATCAGCAGTATATCTCAATGTTTGCTGAATTCTCACCGAGTTGCAAAAAGACGTCAAGCTGAGAGGCATTCTGACAAATCTCACATCTCTCACGTTGATCAGATTTCATTCAAACACTTCATGATAGACGCATTATTACTGGCTCAGGCGGATGCTCTCTTGGTCTCAAGATCATTACTTTCTTTCTAAGTGATAGGTGAGAGCTGCTAAAAAGTTTTCGAAAAAGCTCCTCCTTTCTGTTACCAACCCTTGATTACCAGCAGAACTACTACTATTTTATTCAAGAACAGGCAGAAAGATTCCGAGATAAAGTAAACATCGTCGAGTGTGAAAGAGGCCACTTTTGATTTTGGCATTCGGGTCTCTCAGCTTACCCTGGTTCTCTCCTTTCTGTTACAAAGCCACCATTCGAAACCGAACCTCCACACTTTTTTCCGGGACCTCAGAAGGAAAATTTCCAAATACGCTGGCGCTACAGATTTGACACGAGACGCAAATGCTTATCGTTTACGCTAATCTCCGTCTGTTGCCATTGATCTTGACAATATCCTTCCACGCAAACTTATTCGGTCCCGTTATCGGGTCGGCTGACGCATATATTTTATTACAACTGAGTTAGTCAGTCGAAGCTTCGATGATACTTGTTAAAGTTGTCTTCTGATGATAGCACCCACTATCGAAAGGCTTTATACATGACTCTTAATATCATCCTAAATATGAACCTGTGACCGAGTTTATCGGATTATTTATGGTTGGCTAGGCTTGGTGGAAACTGATGTCGGATTGAAGGAAATACGTGATCCCCTGTTGAGTCGCCAACTTTAAGATGAATTCGTCGAAACCAAATAGAAAGTAACGAACTGAACTTGGTTTTTCTTGTAGTTCTGAATTGATCAATTATTATAACTCTTCATCACTCACTTCTGGTCAAGGTTCCCTACTATGCCTTGGTATCCTATGAAACAGATCAAGACTACATCATTTATACCGAAGGGGTTACGAATGAAAACCTTTTCAGATCCCCTATCGGCCCTCATCAGCTATTGCCATTTCCTGTTATCAGCTACCTGCAATCCTGTAAGTCTCTAGATTAACACAAATGTAGTAATGCTCGTCGTCATACGAGGAGAGGAAGCGATCTTATGGCAATTCCCCGCTTTTATGAATTGTTATTAGCTCTTTTCACCAACCACCCACGATCCCAGTGAATCCCATATTTGTCTTTGGGGTATCAAGTTTTCACAATTGACTTGAAGATCGCAGCCAACTCAGTGGCCTTGCCAAGGCAGAGACAGCGGAGTGGTCAAAAGTGTAGGCTCATGTCTGCACCCGGATCTGTCAAGACAAAATTTATGCCTTGCAAAACTTGCAAAAGCGTTGTCGGTACCAGCGTCAGCCCCAGGTTGACACGCCGGCTTATAGAGAAACTTGTCACAACTGTCAGCAGAAAAGTCTCGGAAGAAATCATATAAAAGCCGGTCGTCAACCGGCGTAGGATCGCTTACAATCGTTTACAGCTGTGAAGACTCCATGCTAAGTGGTGTGGCCATAGCAGTCGTCGATTCCCTCAAAGGGTCTGTCTCAGCCGTCAAAAAATCAGTGGTGGCGTCATGGCTGTGAATCGAAAGAGAGGTTTGGACATAACATCGGTTCATCCGCCGAAGCTGGGTGCCCCGAACACGAAAAGGGCGATTTTCATCTGAGCCTTGACGAGGCCTTCACATCACTATTGGTGGAGGACTATCTCACTATAGTGGGTGATCTCATTGGTAACGTCGACAGTGAACGGATGGTCCTCGAAAGTGTAAGAGGTGGCGGAGAGTTTGAGTCACGGACGAAAAGGAGGAAGGACTCTCTACTGACTACAGTCCACGACCTCGCAATCAACAGCACATTCTTCGCGGAAATGGAGACTGACGAGCTAATCTACACCCGGAAGCAGGAAATGTCGGCTTCATGCTGAAGATTCTCGAGACTGACCTTCCGTTACCTCAAGAACCGGCCCAACAATCATGGGACGTAGCGCTGAAGGTAATCCTGCAATGAGCCAAAGAAATACTGGGTGGGGCGGGGTGGGCTCAAAGGAAACAGGGCAGCGTGGTTCTGGAACCTTGAAGTCCAGCGAGTTATAAGATAGAGAAAAGCCGCCTTCAAACATGCAACAGGCGCGAATTCAAGAGTGGCTTGTTTGAAAGGTTCGATGATCGAGAAGGGGAGGAGATCGTCTTGCGGATGGCGAAAGAGCGGCTCGGGCTACTTAAGACATCAGGGTAGTGAGGGCTGTAAGAGGGGACTTGACGAGTTCAGGCACTTATGGAAAGAATGGTTCGACAGGCCCTGAACGAAGGGTTCCATTGTGTAGATAATTATCAGGAAGATTTAGAGCAGTCCATCGCATCTCCACTCTCAAGCTGAGTGGGGATGCGATGAACTACTCCATCTACCGTGTGATCGAGCTAACTTCACACACGATGAAAATATACGAACAGTTATTCGACTCAAGGTTAATGGAACTGGTCCCGATTTAACCGGAGCAGTACGGCTTCATGCCGAAAGGTCGGAGCAGATGCCATCCTCATAACTTAACAAGTGATGGAGAAGTATCGATAAAAGCGTAAACCCTGCTGGCAGCCTGTCACGATCTGGAGAAAGCGTTCGACCGTTTACCCTGACCGGCCATCTGGGGAGCGCTCTGAGAAGGAAATATAACGGAAGACTTGATCTCTTCAACTCAAAGACATGTACGTTGAGTCCAAGTAAGACAAACATCCACACTCCTCCACGGTCTAACAACATTCATGGACTTCACGGTTGGGGTAAATGAAGGGTCAGCCCTGAGCCGGTTCCTCTTCCTTCTAACATTGAACTAGCTACTACTTCCCCTGACAACTTCTTTTCTGAAGGCTATTATTTTTCTGCGTACGCCAGTTTTCGCCCTTCTTCGCCGTTTTGCATCTGCCGGAGTATCACTTCTGTCGGATTGTTCGTCTTAAACTACCCAGATACTCCAAAATTACCGTGAACTGGCTTTTGATAGCTGTTCCGAGAGCAAAGTATGGTATGTTTACTCCATTGTATGATTTTCATATTGCAGCCTTTTTCGACTAACCATCCCCAACTAGACGACCTTCCATTGTAAATGGTTCTGCCTTATTCTATCCCTTCCTAACATAAGTCAATGGTTCTGTTTTATTCTATCCCTTCCTAATATTAGTCGATCTCGATGTCGACGCTCTTCCACGGTAAATAGTGTCAATATATTCTGTACATCCTCCCCATGGTCACGAAATAGCATTCAGATTATTGAGCTCCTTAAAGTTTCTCTCAATTGCTGTATATAAACGCAGTAGAAGAGAAATCATTGTACAATTCCTATGATTGTCTTCAGTTATTCCAAGTAGGGATTGTACAGCTGGAAAATGCTGTGCATCGATATCACTTCTTTAGCGATTGAAATTTATTTTCAGCAGATTTACAAAGCCTTCACCATCATGCGTGTGCTTTTCTTCGTCCTTTGCATTTTAATGATCATCGTCCCTTCCGCACAGGTAAGAATATTACCGATATGATCATTTTGGCGGTATTCGCATCAGTCTTCCGTGTAGCTCGTGACCGTGAGCCCGTGTAGGCTTTTGCCATAATTCCTACGTTTTCTAGGAGCAAGACCTTACTAAGGGAACGATGAGATGATCACACTCATAGACAACCCCTCAGCTCCCATCGATGTCTATCCAAAGGCACAGTTCACGTTAAAAATGGTTTTTGGGATTTCTCTGGGACTTTTATGAACCTGTGAGCCCATAGATAGCCTAAGGAACGTTGTCGAATCGAAACTGCCAATATAGGACGTGATAAGGACCTCCAGAACTGCCTTAGCCGATGTATACACACAAGGCGGATAAATTCTTGAGCGTTGTGAAAGCTGTAGAGGTTGCACCATTCGCGGCGGGACCCGCAAGCAGCGTATTGCAACCAGCTGTGCGCATAGCGCCCACACTTGAACAGCTCGTTCAAACATCCCTCTGTCATCATACTCTCGTCCAACCTCTGATTCCTCTACTTTTTTGAACCCCATTATTGCTCTAGATATCCATTTTTCACGCTTCCTTCGCCTTAATATTTTGGACTATAACTTCCATTATTCGTCTAAATTTGTATACCCCAAAATTATCGTGAACTAAGAAGATATAGATTTAAGATATAAATTCGAAATCAGCTTCTTGAATGAGTCCAAATATAGTGAAGAATTGTCAAACTGAATGGTCTTCAGCCTGACATCTCTCTCCTATTTTTATTTTTATTTTTTTGGAGCTCCGCCCCACTCATGCAAACTTGAACGTAGATTTTGTTCTCTGCCTCTGCTTGTGATTATGGCAATGCTTCTGCTTCCTTTACAGGTATGTCAGGACGATCCAGCATATGCAAATGTGTGTAAATATGGAAAGAGATTTTGCAAACCTAGTGGGAAAAATAAAGTGAAGATCGTCAGGAAGCACTGCAAGAAGACATGTGGTCTTTGCTAAGCATAAGTGGAACCAAAAACGCTCAAATAAACTGTCGTGAAATTCCGTGAAAGACCATTCAAATAGTTTTTCGCAACACAGTCTACGAGGCAACAATCACCCTGTGAAAATATTTATTAAATTGTCTTCTAGCAAACCATTGTAAGCTCTCAGAAGCCTTGATAGCTCGAGGTGGGTCGGTTAGGCTGAGATGCGTATTCGCCGTAGGATGGATTCAATTTGGAACATTAGTTGGCAACTCGATGCCTTTCCGATCGGGGCGAGAATTTACGAGGATGTGGTCTGTTCAAAGGCTACCAAGTTAGCCCCATGTATGTCACTCCAAATTTCCCTCTATAAGATTTTAAAGTGAACAGAGTCCAAAGGATCGCGTTTCCCGTAGTAGCAACCCTGGTCAAGGTGGAATATGTATCAGTCCCTCTCCCATGGTGAGGTGGGGGCAGCATACCGTACGACTGTAGCTAAAGAAGTTTCGCCTGGATGCATGCGCGATGCAGCTAAAATATATTCCTTAGGTTGTTCCTCTCTTCGCCCACCCTGAGTCTTCTGCCAATGGCCTAAGGCCATTGGGTTGAGGACAGTACGTTGCAGACGGTGCGGCGGTAAGATGCGATGCATATGGGACCTTAAACGTCCTCAAAGGTGCTCATCCCATGACTGCAGGAAACCTAAACTATGTAGTTAAATTAGGCAAAGGGAGATTACGGAAAACTGCTTCTTTTGAAAATTTCAGGCTCTTTTTACATGAGGTGCTTTTGAACAAAGAAGACTGTGGGATGCCACGTCTTTCCTTTCTATCAGGGAACAAAATTTCTTCACATTCCGTAAGACTGCTTCTAATCGCCCTGGCACTACTGGCAACACAAGAGAGAGGTATCAGGTTAATAATACCAATCGACAATAACTCACTACTTTCAGAGTCATTCAGGACGCTGATTTCGAATTCACTTTCTGAATCTTGAAATGGTGCAATCCGTTCCCCAAAAATGTTTTTTTTTTTGAGAACGCAAGGCTTACGGTGAAAGGTTACACGGATGGGTGATGAAAATGCCGCCAAAATTATCATTCATGTAATATATCTTTACCTGAGCGGAGCGAACGATTACCACTGAAATACGAAGGGCGAAACAAAAATGATGATGACACTCTGTAAAACATGCAGAAAAAATGAAATTCCAAAAGGTGGCATCGATGCAGAACATTTTTTTAGTTGTGGGAATGTAGGCTTGGAAGTATGATAATACCTTACCTTCTAGAATATGCAAATACAATGAGGTCTTAAAAAAGCAAGATGATGGAAAACTTAAACATGTAATCGAGAACAGCTGTGATTGCAATAATGGTTCTCTTAGGAAATATCTTGATGAGGAATTTGGACATGCTATAACAGGAGACTTGAGCATTATTAGAGATAATAAAATCGGATCTATACTGGAAAAGGAACAAAGTTTAGAATGACAAAGGTATCATAAGACAAGAAGTTAAAAATATAATATTTACATAGATGCAATGTCGAAACTTATTACGTTCTTCAAAAACAACTATAAAACAAATAATAGACCTACTTAAAAAAAACATTTATATCTTTGCTATCATAAATTGGTTAAACCACTGCTAATAAAATCTAACATAGCCAGTGAAGGGGAGTAACTCCCTTATGGGATCGTTGAGCAATGCCAAAATAAATATGTATACTGTCCTTTGGATGAGGCAGGAAATAATTACGGCTAGTTTGTTAAAAAGCTTTATTTTAGCATTATAATGAAAGAAATGGGCATTGAATATAATACAGTTGATAAAACATATGTCCATAAAATACTAATAATACTTACATACTTATTTAATGCGATAATAAATATTCATTGATACTGAAACACCAATTTCTTTGCGTTCGTAATTTCTTTGTGTGGCTCCGGAAGCGGACCCTCCCATTATTTATGCCCTTCCGAGGTTAGATAAGTATCCAGTCAAATTTAGATTCATCACCGGTGCTCATGACAGCAGCATTAAATAGCTTTAGAGTAAACACTATGTTTAAATTTATAAAGAAGCACTCTATCAATGAGACTAGAGTAATACAAAATAGAAACAGAACTATCAAAATATACCGGTTTATGAGTAATATCAATATTAGTAATGAGCTTATTTCTGCAACCATGACAATGTAAAGCTATACACTGCTGATAAACCACAATCTCGTTATAAATAATATGTTAAGACTACTTAAAATTTGCTTCAATAACGCAAACAAGACTATGATAGCAACTAACGGGTACAACGTTTTTTATACGGATGGCACAGATATCAAAACTAAGTATAGGTACTATAAGATTCATGACTTGCTCTTTATACTGATTATTTATTATCTAACAGTTTCTGTGTTTTTGGAAATAACATTTATCAACAGATAAAAGGTGTGCCACAAAGAGGCAGTTTCAGCCCTCTCTTAACAGATCTGACGCTTTCAATAATAAAATATTATTGTTTGAAAGATCGAAGATTTAATAAAAATAAGCTATTCATTCCATTTAGTTATATGGACGAC